ACATATAAATTTCTACCACTAGAAAAATTATTTTTCATATCAGGCACTAGAGACTCATAACTGAAATCCTATCTACTGAGGAGACTGAGATCTGAGGATCATGTTTCAATGTCAGTCTGGGTAGAAAAGTCTAATAGACTTTTATCTCTAATTAACGAGCAAAAAACAGGGCTGGAGGCATAGCTTCTGTTGGAGTTCCAACTGGGAAGTCAAATGAAGACAAGGGTGTGAGTACAATCTCCACCTCAAAAAAAAACCTGGGTATTTTTTTTTATTATTGTGAAAATACTGTACAGAGGGGTTACAATTACATGGGCAAGATAATGAGTACATTTCTTATCAAGCATTGTAGCCTCCTCCTTTGTTTCCCCTTCCCATCTCTTCCCATCCTCCCCCCCCCCCACCCAATCCTCCCCGCTCCCTCCCCCCCACCAATGTTGTAAAGTTCGTTTTCGATATAACGACTTGTACATAGCATTGTTGCAATGGGTCCACCTGTATGTATCCTTATTTAAACCATTTGTTTTTCCCCTTCCCCTACACAAATTATACCGACATTAAATACAGTGAAAGCAGGGTTTATACTGTGGGGGAGGGACATACAAAACAACAAAGAAATAATCTTATAAATGTGTTAGAAACAATCGCAAGAAAGTAAAAAACATTTGAATACATATCTTAGGGTTCATTTCCCTAACATCACCTTATTTGACCTTTTCTGCTTGACTCAGACATATACTAGATATTGCAAATAAGGGAAACCATGGGACCTATGTTTCTTTGGGCCTGGCTTACTTCACTTAATATAATTTTTTCCAAGTCTTTCCATTTCCTAACAAATGGGGCAATGTCATTCTTTCTGATGGAGGCATAGAATTCCATTGTGTATATATACCACATTTTCTTGATCCATTCGTCTACTGAGGGGCATCTGGGTTGGTTCCATATCTTAGCTATGGTAAATATTGCTGCAATAAACATAGTTGTGCTGGTAGCTTTAGTGTGGTCTTGTTTGTGAACATTTGGGTAAATGTTCACAATCCCAAAAGTGGGATTACTGGGTCATAGGGGAGCTCTATCTGGAGTCTTTTGAAGAACCTCCATACTACTTTCCAAAGTAAACCTGGGAATTTTTTGGGGGGGTTGTGGGGCTTGAACTCTGGGTCCAGGTGATGTCTCTGAGCTCTTCAGCTCTTCAGCTCAAGGCGAGCATTCTACCACTTGAGCCAAAGCACCACTTCCGGTTTTCTGGTCGTTAGTGATAAGAATCAAGTATACAATATTGAATATGGTAACAACATTTCATCTTGTAAAAGAATTTTCAGTCAGTTGAATTGTCCTGTTTCATAGTTTACTGAATGTGCTCTGTGGCTCATAAAAACAACAAGGAACATTCTTATTATTAGACACTGTATTTTTTTTTTATTGTGAAAATACCGTAGAGAGGGGTTACAATTACATGGGCAAGGTAATGAGTACATTTCTTATCAAGCATTGTTGCCTCCCCCTTTGTTTCCCTTCCCATCCCTTCCCATTTCCCACACACACACTCCTTCTGCCTTCCCCACCCCCCACCCCCGCACCCTTCTCCGGCCAAAGTTGTAAAGTTCATTTTTTGACATAACGTCGTTTACATCTCATTGTTGCAATGGGTCCACCTGTATCCCTGTTTAAACAATTTGTTTTTGCCCTTCCCCTCCACAAAGTATACCGACATCAAATACAGTGAAAACAGGAAGGAGCCGCTGCATAGCAACACTACTTTCTTTGTTGTGTATTGAATTCACTAATCAAATTAAATGAGGCATTTTATATGCCAAGTAATTTATTTAAGCTATCCTACATGTTGTAGATTCTATGAAAAATCCTATTTATAGATAGTTTACATGGGCCATTTTCAAAGACCCTTGAAAGTCTAGACAAAAAAAGGTTGAAATTCCTGAACATCTCAAATATAATTGGTGCTATGATTTGATAATTTTTCCTCTTTCACACTCATGTTGAAATTTAAATGATACTGCTACAGTATCAAGAGGCTATTTAAGCTATGGGAAGAACCATCCAGACAGAAGGTCTTTGCCAAATGCCAGCCCCCTTCCTTATGGACTTTCTAGATTCCAGTACTATGAGTGGATGGAATTCAGTTCAGTATTAATTACCCACTCTTTGGTATTCTATTATAGCAGCACAAAACAGATTAAGATCATGAGTTAATTTTTTGGTTTATTTAGCTCAGTTGAACTCTGAGACAACTTGACATCTCCTTGATTCTCATCATAGTAGGACTGTTTATGAATAGTTCATCCAATTTGGAGTCCTTTGGGGAATATGAATATGTCTGTATTCAAGCTCTCTGCTTATTACAGTCTTTTATACTGTTCTGTTATTTGTATTTCTCTTCTACTGTACCCTCTTCTCTTACTCCTCTTTCTTAATTCTCTCTCTTTATAAATGTATTTATCATCCTGCTCCATTATATTCCTCTAAGCAACTCTCACTCAGTATACTCCTCTAAGCAACTCTCACTCCAGCCTGCATCATCAGCTCTAATGATGTTTATGAGCTCTTTTCTTCCTAACCACCTGCTATATCCTGTCAAGAGCTTATTTAGTCTAAGAACAAACTTGTCACCTTCTTTACCAATGCAATTTGACACCACTTTCTTTTATTTTAATGTTGTGATTCAGTCTCAAAACATTCAATTCATTTGTTATTCATCCTTCTGTTTCCTTTATCCATTCAATCAACCAGTCCTGTTGATATTTTTTTTTGTTAAAGTATCTCATCCTTTAATTCCTTTGTATACCTATGGTCTGAATATTTTCCAGGTCTCATTTTCTCCTACTTGAAAGAGTGTAAATATTCTTCTCACTGGTCTCCTGACTTCCATGTTGGCTTCCCTAGTGTCTTTTCCCATTTCCCATCCATATACATGCTCTTCTAAGGATAGAAAAAACACCCAGTATAGACTTAAATTCATGGATATAGAATAGTTTAAAGTCAGAAGAGTAACTGTTGATTGAGATAATCAGGGCAAGCTTTTCAAAATGAAATTTGGAATTGAGATCAATAAAAAGGGCTTAAAGTCGTATTTGTGATTGGAGAAAACTGTGTGAACAAAAGCTTAGGAAGAAAATATATGAAAAGTCTGGGGACAGGGAGTGAGTCCAATAAGAAAAATGAGATTGGAAATATTGGACCTAATTGTAAGGAGCCTTGGAATACCAGGCAAGGGATTTAAAATGTGTGGTATAGGAAATGGGTAGAGACATGATGACAGTGGCATTTCAGAGAGATGAATCTGGCAGCTGTGTGCAGGGCAGATTAGTGGGAGGAGAGACTGGAGAGCCTGGTGAGGAGGTTGTAATAGAGTTCAGATGTGAGTTAATGATGGCTTTGAATAGGATGACAGTGAGAACAGAACTGATGAGATGAATGCAGATGTGAAAAGCATTATAGAAAGAGATTTGATAAGGTTTCCTGAGAGGCTATATTTGCAGGTGGTGGGGGAAGGAAGTGGGAGGACTGGAGACCAGATGACTTGGAACATATCTATAAAAATGATCCCATCCTTTAAAGCCTCATTGCCTTCTCCTCTAAGAAGACTACTCCCAAAGGAGCACTAGGAGCAAGACCCCTTGTCCACAATAGATAGAAAGGATTAAGTGAAAGCTCACTCCAGCTGGCAGTGACTTTGCGTGCTATGACAGGGAAGAAACCTATTGACTACTTTTAATAAGCACTTAGCATAAACAACATGGCTTCTACTAAATTGGCTTTTAATTACATGATCTTTTACTTCTACTGTAAGATCAAGAGCCTCTTGAGGCAAAAACTATGCCTTATTTCTTAGATCTCCATCTAGTCCAGTTTTAGGCCCCTAGTGAATTATAGGAAGATTTTCCTCAATTGCTTCCTTTCACTCTCCCAGAGGGCTAGGGTAAGTTGTCTCACAGATAGGCTTCCTGTTCATCATTATGATGATGAAGCTTGTAGCTTAACTGTATTCCCACACCTGAGCCTCAGCGTCTCTTCTTTCACAGTCTCTATTTCTATTCCAGTTGTGTTTACTGAGTTATATCAGATATTTTATGTTTTTGTAAGGGCTTAGTAAATTTTAATTGACTATATTCTGAGATTCCTGGCTGTGGAATGGGCTCTGATTTGTAGCTAATCCAGTTTTGGCTCTACTTGCATAGTTCAGCAACACTCCTGAAATTGAATATATGTACACAAATGACAGAGTTGGTTATGTTATTTCTGTAAACTGTTTAAAATTTGGATCATTTCTTTTCACTTTCAAAATATTTTTATTCAAATATACTATATGGTTATTCATCTCTGAAGAGCTTTGCTGTTACCTAAAATAGTTTGCTTTATGATCCTAATAAAGCCATCAGAGAAAAGGAATATATCTTTAAACAAAATATTTATTCGCTGTTCAGGTGTCTCCCCAAATACCTTTCCATAATATATAAATGCCAACTGCTTCAAGCATACATTTCAATGTTACCTTAAGTTGACAACAGTTAATGTATTTGATGGTAATTCCCATTAGAAAAAAATTTTACACACCTGAAAGTTTATGAGCCCTGTATTTTAATGCCAGGACTTCCCCTTAAGTGCTATGAGAACTTATAAAAAGCACTTGATATTACTAGGTTTTCCTCCACATTTATGAAGCAAAACACTTTAATTAAAATTTCCTAGGGCATGGTTCACCTGCCTAGAACAAGATTCTGAGTTCAAACTCCAGTACTGCTAAAAAATTGTACTCCACAGAATCACCCTCTAAGCATTAACTTTGGATTTTAGTTAGCTCAAGGAAAATAGATTTTTTTAAAAGGCAGATTTATTAGGCACATGACAATGATAATATGTCTGCCAAGACTTGGCCTATATTTGTGTACTCATTTTTGCCCCTCAGGCCTGGAAATCATCTCCACATAGGTTTCTATAAATGATGGTCCTTTCCTTTCCCATCTGTAGAAAGTTTGATGATCCCTCAGACAGTTCCTTCCAGAACAATTTTTCCTTCTCTGTTTCTGAAAGCCCCAATGTATTCACTTTTATATTCTGGGGCTAGGACAGGAAGTAGGCTGTGTGAATGAGGTAGATCATTTTTAAAAAGCATACAATTCAGATATTCCAAAGACTTGAATGTTTCTAAGACTAGGTTGGGGCCCAGAATGCCTAGATATCCAAACCACTACGCAACTCTTGGCAAATGTATTCCAAATTCTAACACTTTCTCTGCTGCTACCTTTTTTATTGAAATTCATCTTCAGTTCTTTTTCAATCTACTCAAACAATAGCCTGTGTAATTCCTTGCTTTTGGCTACATAATAAAATAGGCACAGTAGGTTTTAGGGGGTACCTTGAATAGGACAAAATAACTGTAGGATGAAAGTCACATGATATGGGCCCTTGCTCCAGCTGTGCAAACTGGAGCAAACTATTTCACTTCTCAGTAATCTGAAGGATTTCTAAAGGAGCTCTTTGTCTTTCAGCTTTGTGTACTCCTAATGTGCTTGCCTTCATCACCTTGCTTTTGAATCCCCTGGGGAGGTATCTTATCCACTGGCCATCTGGAAAGGATCTCCCCACTGCCTCCATACTAACTAATGCATCAGGCTGCTGGTTGTAACAGAGGGATTTTATTTATGATCTTTACCTCAGATTGGGCATTATAATGGGTGCTCTGTATACATTATCTCCTTTAAACCTGTCTATAAACATAGATAACATTTGATTACCCTTTAATTTATACTTATTTGCTTATTTATTTTTGTGCTGCTATTAAGGCTTGAACTCAGGGCCTTGCAGGCTTAGTTGCTTTTTTCACTCAAGGCTGGAGCCTGCAATTCTAGCATTTTGCTGGTTATTTGGCAATAAGAGTCTCTCAGATTTATCTGCTTGGGCTGGATTTGAATTGTCATTATCTAATCACAGCCTCCTTAGTATCTAGGATTACAGGCATGAGCCACCAGCATCCAGTTAAGCAATAAAGAAAATAAATTCTGGGAGTATTAACAATTTACCCAAATGGTAAAGCTATAAAAAGTTGAGTGGGATTTTCTAGTCTCTCTGTAATAACGAATATCTTTTTACTTCTCTAGAGCCTAGAGTTTGGTGAGAAGTTTGGAGTATAAAGGTCTGAAGTGGAGGTGGTGCAAATGTCAGATGCTGACATTATTTTCATTTAGATTGAGAAATCGAGCAAGCTACAAATCTCAATCTCACTCTGAAGATTCTTACAGGAGCATTGTCTTTGCTTTCTCTGCAACTAAAACCGGGAGGAAGAGGGCAAAACAGGATAGGGAATGATTACATTGGTCCTTTGCATGAGGAATTTATAAAGAAAAGAGGTTTATTTGGCTCCTGCATTCAGAGTCTGAAAATCTAAATACTTTGGCTAATTCTTTCAAGGGGCTCTCTAGTCTTGTTTCATATCATAACATATGGTACCATGGGAGCAAGATAGCAAGATAGGAAGTCAGAAATCAGAAAATTACTGCTTGATATTTTATAACAACCCTCCTTCAAGAGTAAACCAAGGCCCTCTGAGAACTTAAAATCAGTATCCTATGATAACTAATGTTCTATATTAACTACATTTATCCCTGTTTAATGGTGGCATCTTCATTGACACACATATTGGGCCCACCTCTTAAAGGCCCTACCACCTCACACATTGCAACACCACAGACCAATTCTCCAACACATGATCTCTTGAAGAACAGACCATATTTAAGCTGTAATACCTTGTATCAAATCTCCTGTAGAATCATCTTTTAGTTTTAAAAATAAATTAATCTGTGTCTGATTGGGAGCAGTGTGGCCTGAACCTCACAAATTTGCATATGAGCCTTCTGGAAATACACTGATTTTCACAAAAATATGATATTGATATTAGAAGGGAAATGTTGCGCTCCCCAAGTAGGCGTGGAAGGGTCATTTAGAGGCCCACACATAGAAGATTTTGGAGGACTATTTATCTTCCTTCCACATAGGTAGCTGTTTACTCTGATTTCTCAAGCCTTTGCAGGCTCTCTGACTTTTGTCTTCATCCAATACCAGAGAAACAGGTGATTATTTTGTCCTCCCCCAAATCACAGACTTTGAATTGGAAGGTACCTTAAAGTTCATGTAACACATGTGCCTGATATTTCCTGAGGACAAACACATGATATAGGTTTAGTGGCTTTCCTAGAGATACTCAGTTAATTAAATACAACTGATTTAAAATGTCAATATATGTATTGGTGTCTGTAATGCTTACTTTTGCAGAACTTTAATAAGCTGAGCTCAGAACTAAAGTGATCCAAACTGAGGACCCTGCTGATGTGAACATTTTCTAAAAGCTAAAGTTCAAAGGAAGCCTGTACCCACTTCTGGAAATTTTGTTTCTTTACTTCAATGGTTGATTGTGAGGATCCAAAGAAACTGTTGAATTTTTCCTTGCAAGTCCATTTATGAATGTGTAGTCCTACTCTAGTCTTCTTTTGGGTGATTCTGAGCTTGTTGCTTAAATGTGTCATTGATAGCTGCATTTATTCCACTGCCCAATGCAAGTGGATAGGGAATTGTCCTAGTATCCCATATGCATTCTTTCATATTATTTTTTGTTGTACACTAAAACAAAATTTTATACTTGCATTTATACTGCATCCAGGGATACTTTCACAGTTTAGGGGTACTCAAGAGAAAAATATGAGAATGGACATAGAACCACATCTAATGAATATCACAATTACTGTGCGTTCCCTTGGGAATTTTCCCTGTTTCAATTGAGCAAGTGGTCTGAACTGCATCTATGGAAATGTATATCTATACATAAGTATAAATACTCTCTCTCTCTCTCTCTCTCTCTCTCTCTGTCACACACACACACACACACACACACACACACACATGCGTATTCAACTCAGTTTCTCCTTGTCACCTTCATTTCATTCTCTTCAAAGTTAGTCTACAAGAATTTAAAATAAGCAAGACATAAATCTAAATGAAGGTGGGGATGGAGGGAAAAAGGACAGGAGGGAGAGGCAAAGAAGAGGATTTTGATTGAGATACTGATTGAGTTTGATTTTATCTGAGATCATAAAAAATACATCTAAGTTGGATTCTTTCCAAAGATATCAATCTTATACAAAGTATGTGGGCATTTGTTCTGCTTTCAAACTTGAGAAATCTATTCACTTAATTTGCCTAAATATGAGAGGCAACCCAACAGAATATCTGGGCTCCTAGCCTCACATATGAAAATATTCATAATGATCTAACTGAATTTTAACTTCTAATTATACCCAACAGATAGACAGAGATACCTTTGAATTGAAAGTGGTTAAAATAACTCAGTACTTAAGCCACTAGCCTGTTTTAGAAAGCACAGCAGAAAATTGTTGTGGTTTTTCTCATTTACTTGAATTTAAAATTGGATATGGGGTAGCGAGACATGAGGCAAATGACTGTAACAACTGTACAGAAGAAATTGCTCCAGGTGATGATGCTATAGAAAAATTGTTACAGGCAGATTCAAGATGCAAAAAATATTTATTTGACAGCAAGCAGAAAGACAAATTACTCAGAGGCTGTGTACATGTGCTTGTATAATTGCTCATAAATTATTATGGTTCATGCTAAAATTCACCCAATTTGCCTAGACCACATGGTTGTCTTTTAAATAAGAAAACAGCAAATTGTTGGGAATTGGAAAATATAATCTGCATTATAAAATGCTTACCGATGCTGGAATATGGCAAATTGTGTTCAGCTTTTTTATTTGCTATCACCAATCTGTCAAAATCTTCATTTCATAACAAAAGTTTTTAAGAACATGTAGCTTGCAAAACCACAATAAGAAAATCAGCCACTGGAATCTCCCTTAAAATATTATTTGCTATAAATTAGAGATCATTATAAAGTGGGTATGACTTGGATGCTTTCCAAAGGGTTTTAGTTACTGGATAGCATTAAGTTTTTTCCCCTATATTGTGGCTTTCCTGTCTATGATCCTAAAAATTGTGTTATGGGAGACTTTGGCAGGCTTACCTCTGCATAGTTTCTTGAACCGAATTTAATGATTAGAAGAAATTTCCTTAGTAAAGCCAGTCTATATCTATACACCATTGTAATTGACACTGTAATTCAAGTTATATAATAATATAAACCAGTTATCTTTCTCTGCATAGCAAGAGTACACACTGAAATTAAGAATGGAGTTGTAACTTGTTGTATGGCATGATTAAATCACACAACTTTTCCAGGACTCAATTTCCATTGTAACTTGGAATAAAAACAAACTCCATCTCTATCACTCATGACTTATGAGGAAGAAATAAAAAATTTCTTGGACGTTAGTGGTTCATATCTATAATGTTAGCTACTCAAGAAGCTGAAATCTGAAAATCCAGGTTCATGAATCAGGGCATGAATGAGACTTTTATCTCTAGTGAACCAAAAATATGGAAGTGGTACTACAGCTCAAAGTGGTAGATTACAAGCTGAGAGTAAAAAAAGCCAAACAAGAGTGAGGCCCTGAGTTCAAGTCTAAGTATAGGTACACACAAAGAAGAATATTGGAAAATTGCTTCACAAATAAGATCTAGTAGAAATGAGAGGACCTTTTTTGCTTCCAAAATTAAGATCAATTACTTCACAATGTTATTTACAGTATTAATGTTATCATCATTTTCAAAAGGCCACACCCATTAATGGTTTCCAAATAGAAACCATTGGTACAAAATTCTTCCATAGCAGAAGATTAATTAAGTAATTGTCCTACCTAATGTTGGCAAACTATGAGCTAGGTGCCATTGTAGTCCACTATCTATTTTTATAAAGTTTTATTGGAACAATATTGTGTTTATTTGTTTACTTGCTATGTCTGCTTTCTCACTGTAGTGAAGAATTAAGTATGACACATAGTTTTGCTCATGAACTTAAAAATATTTATTACCAAGCCCTTTATAGGAAAAGTTTTTATGCTTTATGTTTTATGCTTTACAGAAAAAGCTGCTTCCAAATCACTTTCTGATCTGAGCATTATGGTACATGTCTATAGCCTATAATCCCAGGATTGGGTAGGCAGATTGAAGTATTAGGGTTGGTAGTTTGAAACCAGCCT